AATTTTTTTTTTTTTTTTTTTTTGAATATCTTTATATGTATATTTTTTCATTTAAAGTTAAACATATTATATATAAAATATAAAAATAAAATTTTTGTTACAAAGAAATATTAAAATAATCAATAAATCCACAGATAAAAAATAGCGCGACAAATTTGAAATAATATATATTAACTTTGTCTCGTTATAGATAATAATTGGATTATTTATACCTAAACAAATATTACAATGCATTGTAAGTAACAAGACCATAATAAATTGCACTGATTTCAAAACAAAAAGTATAAATATACATTAATGACCATAGTGAATGAGTTCGCGAGTAGGTGTAAGAATGCAAGTGCCTCGATAAATTACAATAAAAACCCGGTATTACGAAACACTTACGTAATGCATTCGCTTAATGTGACAACGTGAGTATAGAAATGAAAGCGAAAGGACGATACCCCAGAACAGTTCCAATTTAATTAGATGCATTTAAGATCGCTATTTTAGATATTCGCTTTGTTACATCTGATACTACTGTTCTCGATTAATATCACTGACTCGCTTTTCCAGGAGTAGTGTATTAGTTTCTTGTTCCGACGAGATCGAGATCGCGATAAAATATTTGAATGTAAAAAAATGTAAATGTAAAAAATATGAATGTAATATTATTATTAAATAATAGTGTTTTCTCACAGAACATCATTTTTTTATTTATGCAAAATATTGTATCGAGTGATGCTTCAAAGAAATAAAATGATTACAAATTAGTTCTGATCAAAATCATAAATAACATAAAAGAAATTTCTTTTATTATTTTTAATTTCTTATTTATAAAAATTTAGCATTGAATATAGTGCTGCTATATTATAATTATGTTTTATAAATCACTTTTAATCACAAATTATGTTAATTTACTAGATTAGCTTTAATAAATCACATTACTTCATCCTCATCACTTGAATATTTTTAGTATTCTATTTTAAGTAAACAAAACATTTGCAATTATTAAAAATATATGCAATTATACATACATATGTAGTACTTATCTGTATATATACTTCAAGAACTATTAAAAATTTGTTTAATAGATTCAATCGACAAATTATTTCAGTATTTTCCTTGCCTATCAGAGAAATATATCGAAATTTCATCTCAAGAATCATTCGTAAGATAGAAAAACGCGAAGAATCGCCCCGATACGAAATGCTGCGTAAGCCATGTGAAGATGTCGTCGCTTTCATCAGAGACGAGGGGGTTGGAGTAAAACGGAAGGGGTAGAGAGCCGCTAGAATCTAGAAGGTTAACAAAATCAATACCGAGATGGGTGGCACAGCAACGAGAAGAGAGAAAGAGAAAGAGAGAGAGAAAGAAAGAGGCAGAAACTGGTGGTGATCAACCCGCTCGCGCCGGGGGGCTAGATCGGCTACCGACCTTTATTCAGGCCAACTGCATCATCCCCATTCCCACACGCACATGCATTGCGCGGCTTTAGAGGGAGAAATGAGTATGGAAGGAGAAAGGAGAGGAGGAGGTCGTCTATTTTCATGAAGGGCTGTTTTCGTCGGATGAAAACAATCCTGGCATACATAATCCCTGGCGCTCGGTAAAAGCGAGGTATTTATTGTTGTCATTCCGATCAAACTCGTAATAAATATAATTATAAATTGTAAATAAGTATAATTATGATCACGGAAATTATCCGAACTCTAAAAAAGCAACTTTATAAAAAATTGTATGTGTGAAATATTACGCGCGTAAAAGAAATCGTTGGTTTTATTTATTTTGTGAATCAAAGATAAGGTAATTCGAATATCTTTGAAATGCTTCTATCAAAATAAAATCGAGACGGAAGAATAGAATTAATTTTTTGCGATTCTATATTGCAAAGCAATTTTTTACATTTTTGATGATCTTCTATGTAGTTCTTCAAACATATTTGAAGAAATTAGCTTTTATAATTAACAAATAAATTTTTTCAAATCTTTATAACGTTTCTTCCTATTTTCATAAAGTTTCAAAAATAATAACAAAGATCATTGTGTTATTAAATCACATAAAGATCGGATATTACTTCATTACAATTGGCCAAACATCGACAACGATGAAAAAGCAGATAGTAAAATTTAAATAAAAAGTTTGGAGATTATTATGTGCAAATATACTAAGTTCTGAGAGAACTACGTAGCGTAATTTAGAGTGCAATCGTTGCCATAAAGTTCGTACATTACAAATTAAAACAATTAACCTAGTTACTATATAGAGAAAAAACATCCAACGTGTCTATATCGAGAATCTCAATATAGATTAAATTGTTTTTTGATTTTACGATTTGCTCAGCAAGTATTATATACACATGCAATATTTCTTCGATTGTCGTATTTAAAAATTTTATATGACAGTTATTTTTTTTTTCTAAATGCTTGTACAACAAAAAGCATTTAGGGAAAAAAAAATTTAATTTAGCAAGAAAAATCATATTAAATTTCTAAACACGACAATCGAAGAAATGCAAAATATTGTATATGTAATGCTCGCGTTTGGCATGCAAAACGCGAATTTCATATTTTTCGAATTAATTCTATGATCAATTCTCGGTTTTATCATCCGAGAATAAATTAAATAAATAAGATATGTATGTCTTGCATATTAAATAAAGTTTTAGTAAAATAAAAGAAGGTTATCCTCCGAACATTGCTAGAGTATCAGACAAAATATATCTTGGAAATCTGAAAATCTTTATGCTACTGCATTTAGAGAAACACATTTTCAAATAAATATATTTAAATATAGTTAAAATTATCTAAATTTCAGTCCGTCTATCTCTGATTTTATTAAAAAAAAAAAGAATTTAAACTTTAAAAGGAGATTAAACTTTAGTTAATTCTGGCTGAAAAAAAATTTGTAAAAAAAATACTAAAAAATGCATCTCTAAATTTAAGATTAATTCTTTTAAAGCGCATTTCGCGATTTATACAAAAATATGAGAACAAAGTTTCTACGCTGCGAGAGTATACATCTCACTAAAAAGTCTCTCTCCGCGGTCGTCGTTTCCTCCTGTGTCTATTTTCGTTGTATGCTTGTATAGGAATAGAGAAGTCGCATGGGGACACGTGGTATTCCATCGCCGCGGTTTCCGTCTTTCTGCCTTCCCTTCGACATGCATTCGCCACCGATCTATTTGGCACGTTTATTTCTGTGTTTATTTCGAAGTCGACATACGTCTGTACTACGGAACTCCGACGCGCGGTCCACGACGAGGATGACGATGATGCTTTTACTCGCGATAGAATTTGGACTCGCGAAAGAAAACTCGTTAATGTAAACGCGATTATATATCGAACCAATTATATACCCATCACCCTCTCATTCGAATTAATTAAACTGTCAAAGATGCAGCTTAAAGCTAGCTAAATTTATCAATGCGCATCATTAGCATTTTAACTTTAATGTTACATAGATAAATTTTTTATTACATGACTAATAAATAATTCTATTTATAGATTTATATATTTATAAATATATAAATTATATTTATAAATTATATTTGCCGAGTTTTCCTTCCTGCAACTGTTATTTCGTCAAATTATTATATACCATTTATTTCAATGATAAAATCTTTAGTTTCAGACATTTTCTCTATTGTGAATTATTTTAATAGAGATATACAAATATATAAAATTTACTAGCATTAGAATTTATACAAATTCATATAGCAGAAGATACAAAAACGAAGAAATATTTATTTAAAAAATTGATTTCGTATCCGTCATTTTATCATCTCAAACTCTTGCACGAAAAACAGCGATATAATAATGAGTAAAAGCGTGCAATCTTATCTCAATGTGAATCGGCAGGCAATTGCAGTGCAGCGACGATCGTCGTATTAAAATATATACAAATTGATACAGCGGAGGATACAAAAATAGGAAAATATTTGTTGAAAAAATCAAATATGCCGTTATAACAGTAGCTGCATAAGTAAAACCTCGATGTGAATTGGTACTTACCTCGATGTGAATCGACGGGTAATCGTGGCGAAACGGCAATCGTCCTGCATCGGCCTTAGCCTCGTTATCCTGGACGTACCTCGGTATCCTGGACGTACCCTGGCGTATATTGGACGTGTCTGCGATGTCGTTGACGGTAACGGGGACGACGATGATGTAAAAAATCACTACTTCTCGCCCTCGATGTTTCGGCGCCAAAGCACAGCCACACGCGTTCGGACTGAATTGCCGTGGTCACGTGACTGAATTGGCGCGGTTACTGCTGCGCATGCGGCAACACTAGGACCTGCCGCGCTGCCGCGCGGCTACTCACCCGCCATCTTGCGCTCCTGCGGAACGAGTCGAAAGCGTTTGAATCGTTGTTGTTGTTCGGATATTTAGCCAAAAAGAGATGCCATGCTTGCACGCTCGTTTCTAAGCAACGCGCCGCCAAGCCTGCGCAGGATACGCTTGCGAGAATAAAATAAATCGTTACGATCCTACGTATATACTTTAAGACAATTGCAAAATATTTTATAATAGACATTAAATATAGAAAAATTATTATTCTCAGAATGATTAAATGACTTGAGAAACATATAATATCAGAAAATATTGATCTCGTATCATGCCGTTTTCCCATCTCAAACTTCTGCACACAAGAAGAACAGCGCGATAACAATAGCTACATAAGGTTCAAAAAGTGACTTTTGACAAACGTAAAATATCAGAAAATAAATCAATTTCTTATTGTGCTGTTTTCTCGTCTCAAACTCTTGCACGAAGAACAACGCGATAACAGTGGCCATGACAGTAAAAGCGCGCACTTACCTCGATACAAATCGACAGATCGTCGTCGCTAATCGTCGTCTTTCCCCACATCGGCCTGTTCCTCATTATCCTGGACGTATCCTGGCGTATATCGGACGTGTCTGCGATGTCGTTGACGGTAATGGGGACGAGACGATGATGTAAATATATCACTGCCTTTCGCACTCGATGTTTCGGCGCCAAACCACAGCCGCGCGTGTTCGATCTGAATTGGCGCCGTCACGTGACTGAATTGCCGCGGTTACTTTTGCGCATGCGGCAACAGTAGTACTAGCCGCGCGGCTACTCACCCGCCATCTTGCGCTCCTGCGGGACGGATTGACCGCGACGTTTGAATCGTTGTGTTGTTCGAATATTTAGCCGAAAGGAGATGCCATGCTTGCACGCGCGTTTCTAAGCAACGCGCTAAGCCTGCGCAGGACACTTGCACGAATGAAATAAATCGTTACGCTCGTATGTATATACTCTGCGACGATTAAAAAATATTTCGATAAACGTTAAATAAAAATTTTTATTTTCAGGATTAAAAAAATAACAAACATATTAAGCGTCATGAAAATATTCTAGGAACTCGCTTGTAAATAATTTAGGCCATAATAAGCGCGTATATTTGATTCTGTTTTGTTCTGAGGTACTCGTTGTCTCCTGATAATGTTCAAAGTTCAAACGAATAATGAGTATAAACAATGATAAGAGTATTCGTAAATTATACATGAGAGAGTTTCGTATGTGATTATGTTTAGATCAGCGCGAACGATAAGTATTATGTAGGTCGGTATAAAATTTACATTTGCACAACTTTCATAGGCGTTTATTTATGAGAAAAGAATAATTATTCGTGCCACTGCAAAAACGGCGATTATCGCGTATCGTCGAACACGCTCTATCGCGATACGCTCTAATGATTTTATAGAACGAAACGTGAATCCGTCTCCGATTAATACGCCAATAAAGTCCTTGAATACGCCGCATTTTCGCGTTCTGCAAAGATCTGAGACTCGTGCACTTTTATATCGTCCGGAATGATAAGGCCTTGACAGAAGATTGCAGTTCACAACTCTTGCGTCTCGCTAACAGCTGGCTGGCAATTTTTTTTTGTGACGCATGTCGTACGATAAACATATCGTCATCGCCCGACGATATTTAGGTCCGCTTCTACGATCTAGTGACTTTCGACACGATGTAATAGCGTTCTACGGACGGATAACCCAACGGGCCAGCAGCAGGCTAATGACGACGATGACAGAGAGGAGCATCCATGAGCGGTGTCTCGAATCGATAAAGAGATTGTGCAGGTCCTCGTGTAATACGAAACGCAATGCGTTACGCAAACCGGCATCGAACGAATCGCCAACCGTGCGACCGTCGCCGCAGCAATCGTACGACATGTGACGCCGCGTCACTGTCTAGCATTAAAAATATAACGTCAAACGCGACCGCCAAACTGCAAATTCGTAATGATCCGAATGTCGTCGAGGCGGACGATGCATGCGAGGATCGTCGCGACGCGTCGTCGAGATACAGAGGAGTTTCCCCGCAAATTTTCCTGCAAACGAGCGAGCGTGCCTGCGAGCAGGCGACGGCGCAGTGCAGTGAACGTCAAGCGAGTTTTCACTTTCGACTGATATCGAATGGTAGATCGTATATATGTATACCCGCTCGCGCGGTAGTGCGTGTGGGTGCGTCGTCGCGCGGCGCGCACGCGTGCGTAAATACATTCGACCTCGTAGTACTGCGGTTACACTATATGTGATTAATATCATCGTCGATACGAATCGCGAATTTTTTATTTGCATTCCGACACTCATAATCGGTATATCCGTGAAGCTATATATTCATTTGTGTAGATTGTATATTATACAAATTGAACTAATGCAACATGAATCTTTTATTTTGACTGCTCCTTTATTTTATCGCAATGTTAATAGCAGTATCGATATTCTTTTAATCTTATCAGAAATAGTTTTAAAAAATTATATTATATTTTTTATACTCTTTTTTTTTTTTTTTTATCCGATCGAATTAAACATTATTGCTTTATGATAATTGATGACACAAAAACAGCTGTTTTTCTCAGGTAGCTGCTGATACTCAATGATAACATCTAAATGTAAAGAAACGTGGCCGGCATGTAGACGGATCAGGCTCGGCTTACAAAATATGAATGTGGAGACGAGACGACCGATTAAGTTACACAGATATCATGTATCAATGACAGGTGTTAGTAAGCACGCATCAACAAAAGCCACGTGTATCATCGCAAATTCTGTCAGTCAGGTAATTAATTAAACACATGCGAAAAAAAATAAATAAAAAAAAAACAAGAATAAGTAAGCTTATGTAATAAAAATCTAAAAATTCAGAAGAAAAATAGAAATAACTTTTTAAAACTACCAGAAAATTTTATACAAATCTGTTTCATATAACTTAAAGTTTATTTTATTTATATTATTCTTAATTAACATTTTTTTACTATACATTCATTCATCTGTTCAATTGTTACATATAAAACATAATGTAACTTAAAAAGTGTGTTACATATATAAACCACATGCAGACATACACGCAACTATCTTTTATATAAAAAAAAATATATATTGTACAAATATTTGACCAATTACTTTTTCTCATCATTTAGATTATACTTTGTTTTCAATTTATCTAGATCTTCCATCTTTTTATCAACGTCAATTCGCTTAAATGCTTTGTTACTCTGATAATACAGAACCACTAAATAACGATTACATACGTTGAAACCACTTAAATGATCACACGCATTCTTTGCATCAAATATATCTTCGTATACAACAAATGCTGTGCCTCTTGTCTCTGCTGTGTTACCTCTGAAAGAGAAACATATTTTTAATAAATATGTCAGAGAGAGAGAGAGAGATTTTTACTCTACTCGAATACATTGTCCATAATACATTACTTACACCCTAATTTGTCTGATAGCTCCATATTTTCCAAATATATCATACATTTCTTCAGCTGTAATCTTGTATGGTAGGTTTCTGATATACAACACTCTGTTTACTTCGGGTGGCAAACGTACCTTGAGCAAAAATTTCACATTTATAACAACTAATATATAATACACATATATGAGAGGTTAGATTAGGTTAGAGTTAGCATCGGTCAAGACGATTTGTCATATCATATGCAAATGTTCTATACTTACATTAGCACGGCGTTGCAACATTGCCATAGTCATTTTTGC